AACAAAAAATAGGAAATTACTTGTTTTTCGCCATGGATCTCTTATCAAATAATATTACTCAGTTTCCATTATTGAAATACTTAGTCCACGTAGGTACCTCAATATTTAATGTGTATTGGTAAAAAAAAACTTAAATTCTTCATTGGAATCATTCCTAGAGAATTAAATGAAAATATTCGATTAGCACATGAAACTTTTCTGTAGCAATACCCTGTAGGTATCTTGACAGTTAAGTATCTATCGACATTAACGTGTTTTAGAACTGTATTGAAATATTTAATAAAAAATGGCTCTCTTCAATTGTTGTATAAACAGTAAATTATTGGAAATCTTACAAACTATCAAGATACAGGGTATTGCAAATTTTGGTATTGCTACAGGAAAGTTTCATGTGCTAGTCAAATATTTTTATTTAAGTCTCTAGGAAAGATTCCAAAGAAGAATTTAAGTTTTTTTCACCAATACACATTAAATATTGAGGTACTTGGACTATTTCAATGCTAAAAACCGAGCTAAAAACTGTATAATATTATTTGGTAAGAGTTCCATGGCGAAAAACAAGTAATTTCCTGTTTTTTGTTGCTTTTCCTTCAAATTTAGCACCTAGTCCTAAAACGTCACTTTTTTCAAATTACTTTTTCCGAAATATTGCCATCTAACCCCACTTTTCGCGTTTCTATAATTTCCATAATAAACAACGGAAAGAATATTTTTATGGCAGCAGAAAGCCCTTCAAAAACTATGCTCAAATATAAAGTTTCAGTAAAATTTCCATCAATAATTAAGTTTGGCAGCACTTTTTTTACATTTTGGTCAGCAAATTATTTTCTCCCGGCGGCTAGACATAGGATCGCGATCCAATGTTGCCAATTCCTCCCTTCATCAATATATTTTTTAGGTAATTCAGGTATAGGTAAACTATACTGGGTGATTCAAAAGTAAGCGGCATCCTTTCGGGGGCATATTCCTTGCATAAAAACAAGACAAAAAGTTCCTATTAACATGGGTCCGGAAATGCTTCCTAAGCAAGCTACGCCCCTTCGTATAGGACACCTGAAAGACGTGTTTTTCTGTATAAGTTTAAAACCCTTCACAAATGGATTTTGAAAATTGGTGTATTTTATAAACATTTGGTGGCAATTAGGATAGTAAATTGAAAATTCAAAAATCTTAATCAGTGTAACACACCGGGGAGAGTGAAAACATCCCTATTTTTTTTTTACTCGTCAGGTTTTTGCGAAACATGTGCAATCAAAAAAATTTCAAAGTCAATTTTCTCGTAAACGGTACGCTGTATTAAATTGAACCAAGAGTACCATTTCTGTGTAAAAAACTGTAAACTTTTCAATCAGAGTCGCAAAAACCTGACGAGTAAAAAAAATAGGGATGTTTTAACCCTCACCCTCCCCAGTATGTGACGCCACTGATTAAAATTTTTGAACTTTCAATTTAGTATCTTAATTGCCATCAAATGTTTATAAAATACACCAATTTTCAAAATTCATTTGTGTAGGGTTTCAAAGTTATAGAAAAAAATAAGTCTTTCAGGTGTCCTATTCGAAGGGGCGTAACTCCCTTAGGAAGCATTTCCGGACATATGTTAATAGGAACTTTTTGTCTTATTTTTATGCAAGGAATACGCCCCCGAAAGAATGCCGCTTACTTTTGAATCACCCTGTAGAGGGTATGCGACAGAACTTTGTTATTTTAAATGAAGCACCCTGTATGTGATTGCATATTTGGATTCTACATAAAATTCAGAGCAGATTTCATGCAATATACCCTATACCTAAGTTCAACTGTTTTGGAAATATTGACAGTTGAAAATTGACTTTTTGCAACTTTGACAGGCTGTAAAACCTAAACGGTTAATTTTAGACGAAAACCGATTTCAGATTCCTGTCTTAGATTCTTATAAACTATCATTTGACACCAACTTTGAATTTAATCCATGATTAAAAATTCCAGTTAAATTTTATCTCCGGTTAAATTCAAAGTTGGTGTCAAATGATAGTTCATGGACAACTAAGACCAGCATGTATGATCGGTTTTGCTCTAAAAATAACCGCTTAGGTTTTACAGCCTGTCAACGTTGCAAAACACTCAATTTCCATCTGTCAATATTTCCAAAACAGTTGAACTTAGGTATAGGGTATAATACATAAAATCTGCTCAGAATTTTACGTAGAATCAAAATATGCAATCACATACAGGGTGTTCCATTTGAAATAACAAAGTTCTGTCGCATACCCCATAAACGAAGCACCCTGTATATTCAAAAATATTTATAACTAATGCATATTAGAGTATCAAACAACTTTGTAATTATTTTTTTTCTTGCATCACCCTGTAAGGAGATATCGTCCGATATTGCACTAAGTGGACACCTTGTATACAATGGAGTATTTCATGTCACAAAAAAAAATCAAATCATAATTTTATGTTCGCTATAATATGTAGGTAGTTTTTTAAATGTTTTATAATGCTTTTTTCGTCGTAGTTTATTTTACAAACCCTTTTTAAAATGTTTGCTTACTGACCTTATCAACTTTGGTCAGCTGTATCCTGTATCTCAAGAACTATTAGTGTTGTTTTCTAGGAAAATTAGCCCTTCTTGATATTATATATGATATTTTTGCCGTTAAATGGGTCCTTAGTGGCCAATATTGACAAACACTGAGAAAAAACTGTTTTTTTTTTTTTTTAGAAATTATGCGAAACTTTAAATTGCTGTATCTAAGAAACTACACTGCTCAACAATTGAAGTGGATATTTTAAAATTTTGTATTTATTTTGTCGATACTTCAAAGAAAAGTAAAAAATCATGTAAAATAAAAACATTTTATTGATTGATTATATCACCCCAGAAAAAAAAAAACAATTTTTAATGCAAAATTTAACATTTAAAAGAAAACTGTTTAAATTGGGAGGAGTAACAACACAAAAAAAATCTTGTATCGCAAAATTCACAAAATCCCTATAAAAAATTAATATCGTGTTGGACCTCCTCTGGCCCGCCTTAGTACTGTCACTCTATTCGGAAGGCTCATTATCAAATTATTGATGAATTGCTGAGGTATGATTTGCCAAATTGCCTGCAACTCATTAGCCAACTGTTCTAGGGTTTGGTGAGGTTGTGGAATCCGGTTTAATCGCCTAGACATTTCGGCCCAAACATGTTCGATACAATTCATATCTGGTGAACAGGGTGGCCACTCCATTCTTGTGATTCCATGATGTTCTATGCGATCGTTCACAATTCTCGCACGATGCGGACGGGCATTATCATCAATTAATACAAATTGTTCACCTATTGCACCAAAAAATGGGACGACTATCGGCTCTATAACCATGTCTCGATATCGTATGGCAGTCATTGTCTCATTAATTAAGATCACTAAATCAGTGCGACCATTATGACATATGCCTCCCCAAACGCAAACTGACCCACCACCAAAAAGAGTTGTCGGGGCCATTAAATGTTCACTGTATCGCTGTCCTCTTTCTCGCCAAACCAATATTCGACCATCACACGTATACAAACGAAATCTAGACTCGTCGGTAAAGAGGCAGTGCCTCCAATTTTCAACAGTCCAAAGACTATGGTCTCTCGCCCAGCGATATCGGCATGCACGCTGCTCCGCCGTCATTCTTGGGTGGGTAGCGCGACGTCTAGCCCTCAAGTTACATGCATGCAATCTTCTTCTGATAGTTTGACCAGAAATCACTCTTCCAGTAGCTTGTCTGAAAAAGCTGTTAATTCTTGAAGCCGTGAATGTTCGGTTTCTTCTTGCAGTCAGGACTATGAAGCGGTCTTGAGCAAGAGTTGTAGCTCGTTCCCGTCCTCCACCATGTGTGTACGCTGCAGACCCAGTTGCTAAATACCGATTCCACGCACGACTCACGACACTTTGAGACACATTCAGCCGCACGGCGACTTCTTCTTGAGACAAACCTTCCTGTATCCAACGCAATAATTGCTCGAGTTGCACTGCTTCTAATCGTCGGAACGGCATTATTCTTTAAGCAAATACGCAAAACTATTGATAACAGTAGCAAAATCAAGTGTGTACAAGCGGTTCTGTAGAACTGATACTTTCAAATTTTAAAACAATATTCCTGCATATTTCCGTGAAAGAGATAAGGGAGAGAGAGCATCGACAAAAAACAATAAACATGCAAAAAATATTCGCCATAAATACTATTTATTGATAAAATAAAACACGTCTTTTTTTTCATATTCTCAAATGTAGATTTCAGGATTTTTGCAATTATCCAGTTCAATTGTTGAGCAGTGTATTTCACCTACAAAGACCAAATTAATCTTATTATTTTTTTTTTTTTTTACTTTAAAATTGTACATAACGACTTTTGCTGTAACATCGGTCGTTGGTGGTCAAAATTGACAAAAAGTTAAAGAAGGGTGAAAATTTAGAGGTTTTAGTCTAGATCGGAAACAGATAACATATCAAAAAATCAGAACTACCTCATTTCATGTAAGGCAGCACTCCTTTTTTAGTTCGATTTCCATAAACTATAGGTAGTTACACAGGTAGTTATAAATTATTGTTTTTGATGCCAATAAAAATTAAAAATTAAAAAAGAATGGGTATATCTATTTCACTCAGAAAAAATATTGTTCTTAACATGTACGCGTGCGCAAAGTAGTTTTTCCGCACTTTAGAACGCTTCGCGTCGTTCGGCTAACTGCTTTTGCACGCGGGAAAACATAACTTTGCGCATTGATTAGGAAAACTAATATATCGATTTCAAAGGAAAATACATCCTTTTTGAAATAAGTGTTCATTCGTCAATAGTCGAGTAAACATCATCAACTGCCAAACTGGGCTGGCCACGCGCATAGCATCGAAATCAATCGACAAAGTTGGATGGCAGTCCTATGTTTAGCCGGCAGTCTTTTTCTATACGATCTTTAGAATTAATAAACGTATATTATTTCAGTGAAGTCGTGTTTTTGATTATAATATGACATTATTTACCTTTTGTCTCATGTTCAGAGCTTGCTTCATCGAATCTGGCGCGTTTTCGTGGCGACGAAATGCTGATATTCACGTCCACGGGGTGCAGTACATCTCGTTCAGACATTTTCAATCTAATCTACAACAGAAATTTTCCAGCTACCGGCGATTATTGATTACCTTTCGATTAATTAAAGACATTAAAGACATTAAATAGCTGACAGCTGACAGATTAAAGTTAGGTTAGTTGTAGTAAGTGGCGGGAAACGGGAAACACATGGTCGTAAGCAAGGTTGTTTTGAAAGAGGTTGATAACTTTATGACGTCATCTGGGGGACCTCAACATAATGCAAAACTTCATAAGGCACCCCAGATGCGTCATCAAGTTACCCATTACCAGACAACCTATGTGAACTGTAGGAACCTTGGGTCGTAATTAGAGAATTATGGCACTTTCCAAATACTGATCGATTTTATTACTGATCGGCCTTATTTAATTAGTGACAGTCACTATTTCTTATGAATAAAAAGAATTATGGCAAAACATGTTGAATTGGCACTATTTTTTCGTGTCAGTGTCGCATTTTTACTCAATTGGACATAACCTATAACCTTATAAATTCCTGAATACGGAATTATTAATGCAAGAAATGTTAGAAGCTGCCATTCTAGGGGGTGCAAATGACTTTTTTCGGTTTTATCGACCCACAAAACAACAACAAAAAATATAAATCTGTTATGTGAAGTTAGAATCTGAAAAATTCTTTGGCAACTGACCATCTGATTTAGATTTGCGCATCTCTCGAAAAATAGTGGAACAAATACTGCCTTTGCCTTTCACTATCCAATATAGAGAGATATTGCAAATCAGCCTTAATAAGGCTAAAACCTTATTTAGACGCGATAGGTCATTTCCTTACTTCGAATGACAAGTTTAGATATTGCCAATTTCCAGAAACGACTTTAGGAGTTGATGCCTTATTTCTAACCTGAAAATCTTGAATTTATGTTAATGTTCATTTTTTAAGTTTTGAACCTGAAGTGTTTTCTTTCTGATGTGGAATATATGCTTAGATATTTTGAAAATGAGGAATTATTTGTTCAAAATATTGATATAGTACGTGTAAAATCATAGAACAGTGGCAAAAAAATGACACAATTTCTCTAAGCAAAACTAGTTCATCGTATATGTAAACCTTGATGTTGTTTGTTTGGGTTGTTCGGAGCAGCACTTCCTGCTATGGGGCGTTCGTTTGTGAGCGTTTTATATGGTTTATCTGCCATAATCTGAGATATTACAGCTCAGTTCAAGTTAGTGCGAAACAAACAAACAAACCTTTAGACCGCCCCTTTTCTGTGCCTCGATGCTGTTTTCATTTTGCCCCATTTCTGAAAGTTTGGAAAGAAAAAATTCAACAAAAGTGAAAATTTGTTATTATGAATCTAAAATCTATGGTTATAAAAACAAAACATAACAAAACTCAGCTCGCGATTCCTACCGATCGACTAAGAACTTTTAAATAAGGCAAAGATAAGGCAGGTCTTATTTTCTCCCAAATAGGGCAGATCCTTATCCTTAATAAGGCTGTCCTTATTCCAAACGGAAACTGCGTATGCCCAGCTGTCGAAATAAGGCTTGCCTTAATAAGGCAAGCACTTGCAATATCTCTCTAATCACAAATAAGGATGATCCTTATTTTATTACTGACAGCGACTATTTTTAGTCACAAATGCGCATGCGTGTCAATAATAGAGAGTTATTGGGCGTGCAATAAGAACAAGCAGTATTTAAATTAGCCCTATTTTGACATCTACGCATGCGCATTTGGGTCCGAAAATAAGGATTCTCTTAATAAGGTTTCTGCTTGTCTTTATTTGTGTATGGTTAGTGCGAGGCAGTAAACTTTCCTTATTTCAAATTTCTGACATTTTGGACGACTTTGAAATTTCGCTTTTCGACGATGACGTAATTTCACTTAGAAAATTTATTTTTTACAATAGTTTTCCATTTTACTGTGGTGTGGGTAACATCAAAAAATGGGTATCAGCAGAAAATCACAAACAAAAATAAACACTTTTTGAGGCTGAAATTTATAAACATAGCTATCAGCTGTCAAAATTATGAATACAAAATAAGGTAATACTCTAGCACCTACTACATCAGTCTTCCAATAACTGTTTTTTTCTTGGAAAAATACTGCTGATGCACTAATAAAATAACGTAGATTCTTAATACTGCGTGGCAGTATTTAATAGTTCCAATAACTCTCTATTGTCAAAATAAGAACGTTTTTATCACCGTCGCTATTTGAAGGTGCCATAATTCTCTAGTATCTTCTTTTTTTAAACAAGGCATCAAGTCATGATGGGCAAAAAGCAAGGGTAATACACACGACTACTACAGGATAGCCTATCCTCATAAGGCCTGTGTGGAACAAATCTGAAGCCCCCACCACGCCAAATCACCAATTGTGACGTAGGCAGCATGTCCTTTCTCGCCTTGACGTTGGCTGCAAGGAGGTCATATTGGTGTGTCACCATTTCCGACGTTATAACTAAGTCGCCAGCTGGTAAAACAGCAAATCAAGGCGAGAAGTAACAGTGAGGGGGGAAGGGGATCGGATTTGTTACACAAGGGCCTTATGAGGATAGGCCATCCTGTAGTAGTAGTGTGTATCATCCTTTCATATTCCTTTTTTCCTATTATGTTAATCAAAATTAAATAATATTTTTCATCATAAATTTAAATTCCAAACTACGACCGATAGTGCAAACAGTTGACGACTTAGTTATGACGTCGGAAATGGTGACACACCAATATGACGACGATTACCAAAAACGAGGCCTATAAGCAATCCTTAAGCCCAATTTATAAACTCACCGTCGAGCGTTAACGTTTGCGTTTAGCACGCCGTTACCAAGTGATAGTGCAGGAAAAAGTCGCTTCCTTCATGAATTTTTTTTTTGAGGTATAACCAAATGGAACCTTTATTACATCATTAGGTACATACGTCATTGGACATCCGAAATATCTGTTTTCAACTTTTTTTAACGGTACCGTTTATTTCTAAATCAAAAAATATGTAAAATTTGTGAAAATAATTGTTTCGTACTTTTTTACACATAACTCGCAATATCTCGGAAACTAATTGAGATAATTGAACAATTTTTGAAGTGAAAACTTCTTTAGAATCGTTGGGAGTGATTTGAGACGATGAAACGAAAAAGCGACCCTGAAACGAAAAAGCAACACTTTTTTACCACTCTTATAACACACAACAAGAACCTGGAACAAGCCAAGTGAGCTGGAACAAGTCTGGAAAATGTCTGGATAAATCTGTATGAAGTCTGGAAAAGTCTGGAAATCTCTGGAAACGTCTGGAGAGAGCCTGGAAATTTCTGGAAAGGGTCGGAAAAATTCTGCCCAAGGTGCCAAAAGACCTGGGGATCATTTTCCAGAATCCGGATCAGTCTGTACAAGTCTGGATAAGGTCTGGATAAATCTAGATAGAGTCTGTAAAACTCTGGATAAGTCTGGCTATTGTCTGGAAAAGTCTGGAAATCTCTGTAAATGTCTGGAAAAGACTTGGAAATTTCTGGAGAGGGTTGGAAAAATTCTGAAAAAGGCACCAAAAGACCTGGGGATCATTTTTCAGAATCCGGATCAGTCTGAACAAGTCTGGATAAAGTCTGGATTAATCTGGATGAAGTCTGGAAAACTCTGGAAAGCTCTGGATAAGTCTGGATAATGTCTGGAAATCTCTGGAAAGAGCCTGGAAATTTCTGGAAAGGGTCGAAAAATTCTGCCAAAGGTCCCAAAAGACCTGGGGATCATTTTCCAGAATCCGGATGAGTCTGTACAAGTCTGGATAAGGTCTGGAAAAATCTGGATAAAGTCTGTAAAACTCTGGATAAGTCTGGATATTATCTGGAAAAGTCTGGAAACGTCTGGAAAAGACTTGGAAATTTCTGGAAAGGTTTGGAAAAATTCTGGAAAAGGTCCCAAAAGACCTGGGGATCATTTTCCAGAATCCGGATCAGTCTGTACAAGTCTGGATAAATCTGGATGAAACCTGGAAAACTCTGGAAAGCTCTGAATAAGTCTGGATAATGTCTGGAAAAGTCTGGAAATCTCTGGGGCTGACACGTTTTTATAATACATCGAACTAAAAAGTGAAAAATAAATATATTTTAAAAAAACTAAAAAACACGCTTTTATAGTAAATTGAACTAAAAAGTGAAAAATAATTTTTAATATAAACAGAAAATATCAATGAACAAAAAATATTAGAATTATTGTCAAAAAAGCGTGGGGTGCTCAATGTATGAGAAATGTGGAACAAAGCACCCCAGCGTGTATTTTAGTTTTTTTAAACTATATTTCCTATAGTTTCCGAGATATTGCGAGTTATGTGTAAAAAAGTACGAAACAATTATTTTCACAAATTTTACATATTTTTCGATCTAGAAAAAATCGGTACTGTTAAAAAAAGTCAAAAGTCGGCAATTCCGTATGTCTAATGACGCATCTAATGATATCATAAAGGTTTAATCTGGATTTACCTCAAAAAAAAAAATTGAAACATTTTTCACCCTATTTGGCTGCACTAATATCAGAAATCCCATAGACACAAACGCAAACGCAAACGGAATCTCGACTGTGAGTTTCTAAATTGGGCTTTAGTAGTGTGTATTATCCTAGGGCAGAAAGTACCTATTCGCGAAAATCAGACACCGCTAGATGGCGCTGTATTTTGCCAAGATGTACAGTGGCTAAATAAACCTTTACATACAGTGGCGATAATAGAGGTCCCGCCGCCATTTTGTGCCCAACCTCTTGCTACTTTTAAATATGAATATATAGGATTTAGATCGACATCTATCATAAAAAATTGAAAACAACGTTTTTGATGTGCCTGATTATGGTCATCGGATATGTTGTTTTCAATTTTTTATGATTGATGTCCATTCAAATCCTATACAGGGTGTTCATTTTAAAACTTATCACCCCTATTATCTCGGAGTTGAAAAATACTGATGCCTTTTCTCGCGTCTCGAATGTTTCAAAACATTTTTCAAAACTGGTTCAAGTAATGTCACCATGACGTAATAATTTCTCGGCGCGAGAAAATAGTTTGAATACGTGGATTGGATGGTATTTCGAAACGGTTTGAACCAATTTTGAC